GTTCAGCAGTGTGTGGCACAAGGTACTACAGAGGGGAAAGGGTTTGAAAGAAAGAGACTGGTTGAAACTTTATGTTTAAAATGATTAGCCTCCCTCCTACACCCACCTGGCTATATCTTCTGCTCAGGCAGCCAAGCAACTATCCCATTACTGCTTCCTCTCATCTTGTTCTTCCTAACAGAAGACTGGAGATGTATGCTCTGGAGAGAATAAGAAGACCAAGAAGTCTAGCACAAGGGAGGCAGGGTAGAGGTTGAGGCTCATTTCCTTTTCCTGTCCCTGTTTCAGGATATTTCAAGAGAGGCTTATACAGTGTAGGCAGAACACTACTGAATTCTTCTCTGGAAAAATAAAATGGCCGAAGAGAAATGCCACAAGAGAGTGACATTTGGGGGTTCCATAGTAAATGTCCAGCTTTGTTATCATATCACCCTACCAAGAGGTCCACTAATTAACAAGCCCCACTTATGCACAAAAGTTTTCCATTAACTTTTTAGTGTGTCTCTCTTTAATATGAATAGACAGCTAAGGTTCATCAGACATCTAAGGAAAGTCTCCAACAACAGAGACTGTACTTCAAAACAATTACAATTAATATTCTCAGAGAGATGAGGGAAGAATTTTCAGCCATGAAACAAGATGCTATAAAACGAGGATGCTATAAAAAAGGAAAAAAAAATCAAAAACCATTTAAACCTTAAAATAAGTTGGGTGACTTCCTTGGCAGCACAGTGGTTAAGAATCTGCCTGCCAATGCAGAGGACATGGGTTCGATCCCTGGTCGGGGAAGATCCCACATGCTGCAGAGCAACTAAGCCCACGAGCCACAACTACTGAGCCTACACACTGCAACTACTGAAGCCAGCGTGCTCTAGGGCCTGCGTGCTGCAACTACTGAGCCCACGTGCTGCAACTACTGAAGCCCGCGCGCCTAAAGCCTGTGTTCCACAACAAGAGAAGCCTGTGCACAGCAACAAAGAGTAGTCCCCACTTGCCACAACTAGAGAAAGCTCGTGCGCACCAATGAAGACCCAATGCAGCAAAAAATTAAAATAATTAAAAATTAAAGAAAGTTGGAATAAAAATGTAGGAGGAAGGCTTGAAGATAAAGTAGAAAAAATCTCCCAGAAAGATGAAAAAATGATAAGAAAAAAATGGTAAGAAAATTAGAGAATCAGCCCAAGAGAATCAACATGCCAATAAAAGGTATTATTGAAAGGGTCATATAAAACAGTGGGAAAGAAGTGATAAAAAAAATAATGTATGAAAAACTTTCCAGAACTGAAGGAAAATTTCTAAAACATGAAACTCCAAATTGAAAGCCCATTAAGTATACAGTACAATGGATAGGAAAAATAACCATGTTAAGGAAAATCACTGTGAAATTGCAGAACATCCTGGACAAACAAAAGATTCTAAAAACTTATGAAAAGAAAAACAGTAACATACAAAATATCAAAGGTCAAAGAAAAGAATGGTGGCAGACCGTGCAACAGCAGTAATCGATGCTTGAACTCAGTAGAACAAAGCCTTCAAAATTATGGGGAAAATTTATTTGCAAATTAGATTGTTTTTTCAAATTAGATTTTTATATCCAGCAAAATTATCAATCAAGTTAAGGGGAAAATTTTCAGATTTCAGTAAACATTCTCAGATATTTAAGATCTCAAAAAATTTACTTCCTACCTGCAGATACTCAAGGCTCTATTCCAGCACAATAAAGGACTAAATCAAGAAAGAGGATGACATAGGATTCAGTAAGTAGGGAGACCAATCCGGGAGACTATTGAAGGGGCGGTAAAGAGAAGTCTCAGTTGTTTAGCAGGCCTAGAGAATAACCAATTCAGAGTGGAATAAAAGTGTGGAGATCTGTAGGAAAGAACAATAACTGATCTATTTGAGCATATGGAAAATACTGTCCATGGGCATGTGGAAGAGAAGTTGGAACATACGGGAGCAATTAACAGTAGGAACATAGCAAGCTAGGCAAGTGAAGAAATGAGGTAATTATTAATATCCTAAAAATAAAGAGTTGTGTAAGAAAGGAGGGATGATTACAGCTTCTCTTTTTCTCAGCACTGAACAGTGTTTCCATGGTTATAATAATGAAAGAGTGAC